GTTTTAAGAACTCGTGGTTTAACCTTTCTGGTCCCACCAAACACACAGCATTGTCTTCTTGCCGCATCGATCTGGTTTTGCAGTCGATGTTGATGGTTGTCCCAGATTAACCCATGATTCTTTCGTGTCTTTGAAGCAAAATTTCACAAGTGTTTTTTCGGTTTTCCATCTGTCTTTCATTCAATTCATGTGGCACCCATTTTCCACACTTTTGGATCTTTCCCATAGCTTTTAAACGGTCAGAAATTTGTTGTGTAATAAAGGTACAATTCCTTAATATTTTAATTTGTTTTTCTTTGGAAGACTTTATAAATTACTGGGTTAGGGAAATCACTTTTGTTTAAAACCCTTTTGATGTTGTTTCTTATTTCCTCGTGGAAAACTATTAACTAATTAGCCCGTTAAAAGACACAATTATTATTAAAAATATTTGGTTACTAAATTATTTGATCAATAAATTTTTAAAAAAAAATTAATTAAAATAATAATAGAATAATAAAAATGAGAATATAATGAGCATAAATAAAAAATGAGAAAAATTAAAATAATTTTTTAAGCTAATCTTTAAGTAAAAAATTAAAAAATTACGTTATTCCATTTAAATTGTTTAAAAACTTCACTGAGTAATTTTTATTTAATTTATTTAGTTTGAACTTTAAATTAATGTAAATAAAACGAAACTAAATAATTCCAAAAATAAACAAAGAAACATTTTAAAATTATAATAATTTTTATGAATATTTTAAAATAATTTAATTTCGTATTTGTTGTTGGTTGTGTGCATAAATTTATCTTATTTATTATATATATTTTTTGCTGTGCTGATGTTGTTAATGTGTCAGGTGAAAAAGCTCCAGGTTCAGATATTTTTTGTGCTGTTCACACAGTGGAGGCACGGAGGCACTTGGCTGGCTATGCAGTATCAGGCAGCTTTTTAATGCAAATCTATTCGAATAAGAGTGAGTATGTCGGTCCAACTAGAGATACGGCTATGGACCGGTGCAGACACGAGTGTGGATATTTACGTAGCTGAGTGCGTGGTTGTTTATGTTTATTTTTCGCTGTATTCACACTCAATTACAAAAATAATTGTTTCGACACATTTGGTCCAAATTTAAAACAACGAAATACCAAAGCAGTGGCAACTTCTGACAATGAACGGACGTTCGATGGCTGAGTTCCAAAATCGAACAGAAGGCAGAAAGAGTGGAAGAAAGTATCTTGTAGTGTTGCCATTTTTTACCCAATTTCAATGGATTTTTTTTACAATTTCAAGGGTACGGGCGGTGAATGACGTATTCAAAACCGCCGCTAGCACACTTTTTCAAATCTATTTATTATTATTAAATTTTTATATTTTTTGGTGTGCTTTAATTATTCAACTGTGCTATTTCATTCGTTTAGTTTTTCCGTTTGACTTTATTTTTCAAAACAAGTGAAATTGTTTGATAAATAATATATTCCAAAAAAAAAAAACTGTTTGACTATTCACATTTACAACAATGCTCTCCTTTTTTCTAAATATTTTCTGTATTTATTCATATTGCATTTTATGTTAAACGGTTTTTTCAGATTTTATCTCTGGAAAAACTTGTAAATATGACACTGCTGTCAATATCTTGTTGAATTTATCAATTATTCTATTTCAAATTTATTGCTTTTATTTGAAGTTTTGAGTGTAAATCACAAAATTTTGGCACATAGTTTGGTTTTGACCCATGTTCAGAATTTTTTTGTAAATAAAATAATTTTTCTTATTGTTAGTTGCAGTTTATTCAAAAACTAAATATAGATTTCCCACCAGAGCTTGTATTTGTCCAACAAGTGTAGTTCCAAATAAGGATTACATGAATGTCAAATGCAAACATATTATTTGCCAATTGTGATTTATAGCACCAAACTTAAATACTTTCGAAAAGTTCATCAAATTTGACAGAAACGATTTCTTTTTTAAATAGAATAAAAAATGTTCTATGCTAAATGTTACATTTTTATATACAAAAATATTTAATATTGATATATGTAACTAAACACCAAATATACTTTATAATTTCAAATTAATTAAAATGTTATACAATACTTTCAGATGCATCATCGTTTAACTTACCTGTTTTTTTATTGAAATATAATTAATTAAAAAATTATTTTTATGGCACTTGATAAGCATTTTCCATTGAATATGTTTATTTTGTGATTTAGTGCTGTTAGCTGCCATTTTTTATATATTTTTTTTCACTTTTTTGGTACTGAAAATTGATACTATGACTTTAATTTCATTTAATTTACAAATTTGTGCTAAGCTGGAGCATATGAGTAACTTTGAGGTATTTAAGGTTTTTTGCATAAAGCTCTTTTACATATGACCTCTACCCTAACACCCAGTATCTGAGTGAATATTAAAAATATAAATAATTTATTTAACCAAATTTAAAATTTAATTTAATTTAATTTAAAAAATAAAAATTGTAAGCTGTATTTTTAACCTATAGGCACTAGTGTTTAAGGTTACATAAAACGAAAATGCCTTTCTGCAGTGAAATAAAATGTTAACTAAAAGTTAGGTTAGGTTAGGTTAGGTTGTACAAATTGTTACTGTGTTCTTTCTATACTGAAATTCTTAATAAACGATGGGAAGATGATATCACTATATGCAGGCATCTCTATGCTATCTGGCCACTTACCGCTAAATGGAAATCTAAAATTCTCATTGACGTGCCCCTTAGACACATCAGTCTTCTGTTAGGTTTACCAACAAGTCAAGTCTTAATCAAACCTGTAGCAGCTATGGGAAAGACGATTAGAGTGCCTCCGATCTATTATATTTCTGCCCAGCTCACGCACGGCGATGATTTAACAAATTAGGAACCCCTTTTTTTTGAGGATCTTCACTGTTACAAGAGCTGACTCTAAATAGCATTTCAAACTTCACTGTTATTAATTAACATATTTTCATAAAATATGAACTATCTTTTGTATGTTAGAAACTTAAAGTGTGTAGATCCTAAAAACTCGATCTAAATTATTAATGGTGTCTTTTTATGATGCTATTTCTTCCTACAATTGCTAAATCTATTTCTTCCACTACTTCTTCTATTGTCCTATCTTATTTGATACTACTTTTTTTAGGATTTTTCAAACTTTTTTTCTATTACTACGCAACAAGTATATTATTGACAATAATGGTAGAGATTTATTTTTTGGAATACAAAATTAATTTTAGATAGAATTAGCATTAGAGTGCAAAAACTCATATAATAGACAATCCCCTTCTAATCCCACCAAACAATCAAAATAACCACTAACATGATCACTTGCGTTAAATCTTTTCGTTTTGAATTCGTATTCGTTGCCCGTAATTCGCGTTTCACTGTTGGTAATCCGGTCCATCAAATTTTTGTATGCTAATCATCCTTCATCTGTTACTATTACACCAAGTGTCTTTGCATAACCTTACTAAATGATTCCAAATTGTCATTTGGATACTTGCGTATCAGTCCTGTTTTACCAGTTTTACCAGTTGCAAAATTTCATCACACAATTTTTCATCCAAAAAAAGTTGATCCTGCAAACTGCGTCAACTACCGGGATCAGTCTTTTAAATATCGCATATAAGGTTCTGTCAAACGTACTATGTGAAAGATTGAAGCCAATCGTCAATCTAGTCTACGCCGTTATATCTAAATATATACGCCACTATATCTAAGTTGGTATTCTAGCAAAACTTATACGGCTATGTAAAATGACGCTGAGCAACACCACCAGCTCCGTTAGAATTGGGAAGAACCTCTCCGAGCCATTTGATACCAAACGAGATTTCAGACAGGGCGACTCCTTGTCGTGTGACTACTTCAACCTAAAGTTGGAAACGATAATTCGAGCAGCAGATTTAAACCGTACTGGCCCAATATTCTACAAAAGTGTAATGCCGACGATATTGATATAATTGGTGTGAACACCCGCGTCGTTAGTGCGGCATTTTCCAACTTAGAAAAACATGCAAAGCAAATGGGTCTGGTGGTAAATGAGGACAAAACAAAGTACTGTCTGTCAACAAACAAATCTCCTGAGCGTCTTGGGACCTACGTCACTGTTGACAATTATATGTTCGAAGTTGTGAAAGACTTTGTTTATTTAGGAACTAGCTTAAACACGCCATGAGATTCAACGAAGAATCACTCTTGCCAACAAATGTTACTTCGGGCTAGGTAAGCAATTGTGAAATAAAGCCCTCTCTCGATAAACAAAAATCACGCTCTACAAATCTCTTATCATGCCTGTCCAGCTGTATGGTGCAGAAGCTTGGACAATTACCAAAAGTGATGAGAAGGAATGACGAATTCACAAACTTCACAAAGAAATGTAACCTAAAATGTTACCTTTTAAACGCGTGTTAGATTGACATTATCTAATTAGTGTTGCTAAATTATATGGGTACCGACAATATTAGTGATAAAAAAAACTGCGGATTCTTACCAATATAAGCTCATTTACAGTTGAAAATATTTTTTAATGAAGGATTAACGATACCACCTGGTTATATAATTTGCATATAAAATTAAAATGTTTATTCTCAATTATCTAATATTAGCAGAGGTGATTTTAATATTTTCAAATATTGTGGTGTAATTAAAGTTCTAATAATTTGCACATCTTAAATTTTGCGGAATAATAAAACTAATAATGATGACCACTTACGAATTTTGATTGAGGTAAATTCTACTAAATAAATGTCTATTTTATTATTTATTGAAAAATATGAAGATCTTTTGTGCAAACAAGAATCCCACAGTTATTCTCAGTGGGCAGCAAATTGGATGAGTTCCAGTTCGACAAAAAAAAAATGGAACTGAAAAAAAAGAATCCACAAGTGCAGCACAAATTGCTCGTATTTCATTTATTTGCCAATAAAAATGTTTTTGATTCTTTTTTTTTGTGTTAATTTATATTCGAATTTACTACAGAAATACTTAAAAAAATTTTTCATTCAATTTTCATTGCAGACGAGCACTATTCGAGTGAACGGCTGTCATTTAATGGACAACAAAATTAACGACGCCACTGCAGCAAAAGTTGATGAACATCGCGAGTCCAATACTTGGTAATAATATTTTTAAAATAATTTTCTTTCTTTGAATCATAAAATGGGCGATTTGAAAAACTTATTCTGAAATCTTTTTATAACTATATAAATATAATGTGAACTATTTTTAGAGGGAAATATATATACATTACATATATATACTCAAATTATTATATAAATTACAAATAAGATATTTGAAAAAAAATTGTATAATAAAAATTATTTATTAAGTGACAGACTAGTTTATTAGTTAAATAGTCTGAATTATTTATTTTATGAAGTCCAACATCGGTTTAGATAGCCAATAAATACTATTCCACAAGTTCTCACATTTTCTGCATTTGATTTTTAAATAATCATCTATAATTACTACTCTAAGTCAGTAGATTGCAATCTAGATTCAATTTAATTTGGAACGTAATTCTAATATTAATTATAAAACTGGCTAATTGGGCAGTTAATTGAAATATACATTTGTATTTTTAAAATTTAAATTGTTTTTTAATAAAAACATTTTGGTTATGTTATAGTCGAAAATTGTTTGTTTAGCCCGTTTCATAAATTATATATAAATTATTGCTTATCAAACTGAATATTATTTCATAACATAATTGGTTTGAATTATATGAAATATGATCAAATATAATTTCTCCTGTCTTCGTATTGTCTCAGGTTAAAAATTTAAAGAATGCTTGTTCTCGATAAGCAGGTTAGTGGGAAACCCATAACTAACAAGAAATAATTGCATTGAAGAAACAAAGCATGTTAAAGGCGTCAGTAAGTCTTTGGTGTTACACTAGGTAACACCAAATTTTAACGATTAGGCCTGACAGTAATATATTTCCATTATTATCATCATAGATTCCACTTTTGCAGGCACTAATAACATACACGGACAAGTACAAGCAGGGAATACGCGCTTATTCAGTGCTGATCCGCTGGTTGTTAGAGGAATATATAGTCTCTTACTAATATTGATGCTACCTGATGCTCGAAATAAGCGTTCTTTATATTCTCAACCATATACTAAACAAAATACTCAAGTTGCTTCAATTATATACTCACATAAATAAGTAATGTCTAAAGTAAAAGATGATCGTATTTAATAAATGTAAACACAATACCAAAATATATACAATATCCAATTAATCAGACTTTATCTAATGAATTTTATAGTTGATTAAAAACCATTTCAGATTAATGTAAAATATTTGCTTGATGGATATTTTGAAAATACATCTCTGCAATACTAACTTATATTAAATACTTATTTAAATATTATTATTAAAGTATATTTATTATATTTTCAATATAACAAATTTCTTTTACATATCCCTACATTTCATTAATCTGTTGATAACATTCTATTCACATTTGTTCATCCATCATAATTGCCATCATCTTCCTAAATATTTTGATCATCTTCATCATCATAGCAAATCGAACGGATTTGCCACAACTGTTGAAATAACTGCCAATATTCTTTCACAGTATTCACCGGATATATTAGGACAACAACAACAGCAACAACAGAATTCTACTTTTAAATTTACCTCACCAACGTCAACATTCAAAAAAAAGAAGCAACAGCAATTACGAAAAAACAACAATAATAATCAAAACAGTGTATCAACAGCCACAACAATAATAAAATCCCTTCAAACACCTACCGATATACAAGAGAATCTAAAAATATTAGTTGAGGACACATACCAAAGTCAGAATTGTAACACTGCAACAAGAAAAGCAGACAAAAATTCAGTTGCCAATATAGACGGAAATCCAGTTAAACAACAGTTGCAACACGAACGTAATGATTTTACAGCGATGATCAACAGTTCTGATGCCATTAATTCGTCAGATACCAACACAACAGGAACCGGAACAACGCGCTCAACTAAAACACGCACCCTCCCCGCAATATCCACTCGTTCATCTGGACATACAACAGGCGTGGACTTAGTGGGGGATTCAGAATTACCAACGACAACCGTAACAACAACGAACAGGTCAACTGCTAAAAGTCAGAAGCGACGACAGCCACCACCAACACATCTAAACATGGGTGCAACGCTGCAGGGAGGCAGCAACAAAGCCAGTTCTTCACAAAGTTTTGTTGATGGCATTGAAACGCAGTTAGGACTCATCGGCTGGCGTAAGAAATGCCTCTATACACTGCTGGTGCTACTGATGGTGCTGATAATCACTAACCTAATACTTACACTATGGATACTTAAGGTGATGGAATTTTCAACGGTAAGTAGCGTTTGCAACATTGCTAGCAAGCCGATAAGCAAAGTGCAATATCACAGCAGTGACAATAAATATTTTGTTTATCTCCTTTTTTCATTCTTCCCTTGCAGGACGGCATGGGCCAATTGAAAATTGTGCCTGGTGGAGTGCAACTAACAGGACAAGCACTGGTCATGGATATGCTGCGAGCATCGACAATACGTTCAAGGCATGGCCAACCAATTACCTTAGGTAAATACCGGAAATGTTATTGACCATAAATGTTGCAATGAGTAAACAGAAATACACGCACATATAGACTCTGCAGCACTTTGCACTTTGCACTTTCAGCTTAAGTAGGAATATTCATTCACTCCCAATTCTCCGTAAATGCCTGTGCGTTTTCCATGAAGTGATAACATCTGCCCAAGCACAAAGATAACTGAGTATTCCGTTTTGTTTGTAATTTATTATGTAAATGTTTCTATTAATATTCATTTAACATAAATTTTACTTTTGTCTCCAGTCATTTTCCTGTGCTTATTATTTATTTGCACAGACATAGAGTTACGAATACAAGTCAATGTGTAGTGCCCAGCTTCTTTTATATGCAATAATTGTATGGAAACTCCAAGTCATTCGCCTTTGAAATTGTACCTTTTTAATGAGCTTCGGCCTTTAGGCCGAAAAACGATTGGGGTTTTTTCATCCAGCATGTATATTGACACAATTCAAATAAAATTATGAAAGTTGAATAAACATATGTGTGATCCTAAATTAAAAGATTTTCATAACGAAAGGAATGATGACTACTATAGTTCATTATTCCGCAAAGAGATGTGACATAGTTTTAAACAAAGGAGGAAGACATAAAGTTATGGTGATTAAGTATGCTAAAGCCAATAGCCATAAACTTTTTTCGCAAATTAAAGATGTCACATAAAAATTAACAATATGCAAAATAGGTACAACGTCCTTAGACCTTTGATATATATCTAATATTATTTGATTTTGGTTTAAACTTTGAAGAATGTAAAAAGCCAAGAAATTTCTTAAAGACTAAATCAAATTTAATAAAGCTACTTTTAAATTCTATATCACTTTTTAAGAAGCTACGCATCAACTTTATGCTTTTAAATGCAAATTACCTAAAATATCTTTTTTTTAGAAATATGGAAAAAGATAATTTCATTTTATGGAAGTAAAAGTAGATGAAGAGAATAATTTATGTATAAATAAATTGTACAGAGTAAAAAAATGTTTAAAAAATTTTTTCACAACCCTGTGTTTGGCTTCTTGTATTCGTATAAATTTGGCACACATGACTAAAACAGAGTACACTTCTAACTTGAATACTTGATTTGCATATCTGCATTTCATTTTATTAAAATGTTATATTTTTAAGTATATTTTATCTAAGTGTGCAGCAACACATGTATTCATTTATTTGGAGACTTTTTATATACATTACTGTTATAGAAGGAGTTTACTCTATACTTTATAGAGCGCTTCAAAAACAGATTAGGTTAGGTTGAAGTGGTAGCCTTGCATATCCAAGCCTATTTTAGCTTGGGTATGCGAGTTTTCGGCACAATTTAGAATTTTCTTCAAGTAGAACACAAATTAGATCAACTCGCACACGGTCTTAATACCAAAATTCATTCAAACACTTAAAATGCATATATTGGTTTTAAGTGATCAATTATGACAATGGAGAATTCTGTGAAATTCGAATCTTCCACAAATTAGAATTGAAGTTTGTAAAGCATTAAATGCTCTACAATTAGAATTAAAAATTTTAAGAAATTAGAATTTTTCAGAAATTAAAGTTACTTTAAAAACAGTGGTTCTAATTGGCGAGCGTCCAGTGTAAAGCTATTTTTTATATACCAAAATTTACATGAGCTGAACAGTTTGAATCAGGATTTTAAATATTGAAGTACAGTTGTACGTCATTTTATTAATATCTAATATTTTAAGCGAACTTTTTTTTTTTATTCATATAGCTCTTTCAAGTCTTGTGGAATGGCCATTATCATTTGCAGATTTTTTTTTGAATTTTATGTATAGGTATATAACTTTTATATAGTCTTTTACAGTATAAACACCGAAAGTCAAATTTAAATACTGCCGAAGTTTGAATATTCTAGACCAAACAGATCTAACCTAAAGTCTGTCTTGACTCGTATTGTTTTAAACTGAAATTATGCCAAAATGTTATTGTTGTTTCTCCACACTTGCTTTGTTAATTTTAGTGTGAACGTATAAACTACAGTTGGAGTTAATTGTGCTTGACAAATGTAATGTTAACCATTTTAAAGCAAATATTTTTTTCATGTATCTGCCATGTTATTATTAAATTCTATTAAATTTGACTAATAAATATTTGCACATAAATTGCCTTGCATACAATAATTAAAAGATGATATCTCTACCGCAAAGTATATCTACATTTCATAAGCTCTAAATTTTAGATTATTTCAATCAATAGAAATATCTCAAGAACCTCAGAAAATATGTATTTGGTTTTTTTCATAAATTATTATTTAGTTATTTAATATAACTAAGATCTGAACCACTTATAATTTTAAATGTAATTTAAATAATTTTAAAAAGATTTTTCATTTTTCCCTTAAAGCTTTGTGTCACATTTTAAATGTACCAACTAACCAACGAATTATTTTGACTAAAGTCTAAAAAAAATATTCTCACATAAATCTCACATATCAAACACAGCACAGATGCACAATTACAGATAAATTGGGAAGACAGATGAGGTTTTGCGATGGTAGCAAAAGGTATGAAAACGTTTCTTACACTGATAAGAAGACAACAGAAAATGGTATCCGCCAGCCATTAAGCAGGCAAACTCACACTTACCACAACGTCACCTACGTGTGCTGAAAGGACCATGACCATGACTCGACTAAAAATTTTATTTCCGTTTCCGTTATCATAGTGTTGTAATCTATGCTTCCACTTGCTTTGCAAACATAGATATTTCGTAGTCCATATTTGTTCGGTCTGAAAACTGTTGTTGGTTTGATATATTTAGGCTTATCTCAAATGCGAAATCTTGCGTTTACTACACAATATTCTGTAATAAATACAAACAAGCATAAATATTTGTTTTTAAATTCCACTACTTGTGTATATTGTACTGGTGTATCTTGTTGTACTATTTTATTTACGAGTATTTTTTTTATTTTTTTTTCTATTTTCGATATGAACGCTCTTAATACCATAATTCACTACGACATCATCATTGGCGCATATCAAATGCATCAACCTCATCATCAACGCAATCATCATCAACAGAATCATCACGTAATTTTTCAATCAATACACGTGACGCGAATGGAATGCTCGAAAATCATTTATTCCTGGGACACGATAAGCTCGAATGCCTTTCGACGGGATTTCGCATCAATGACACAAACGGACGAAATTTATTTTCCGTAAATCGAGATGAAGTCACAATCGGTGCACACGCGCTGAGAATTGATGGTGAAGGTGGTGCCATATTTCGGGAATCCGTACAGACACCACATGTACGTGCTGAGCCGGGACGGGAATTAAGGTGAGTTAAAAAAAAAACAAATAAACCATAGAATAAAGATTAACACCGAGTAAGAGATGGAGGAAAAAGCAACAAGAATTTTTAAAAGTAAAACGAATAAAATGCATTGTAGTTATTTCGACTCGTCTAAAGGAAAACATACCGAAAGCAAACATTCATATTGCATGAATGTGCATTAAGTCCTAAATTGAGTTCGCATTTCGCAACAACTGCAATACAGTGGACAACAACCTTTCCTGTGTAAATAATACGTCGACCTCTTCACAGTCATAAAACAACTGAAAAGGGTAAAATGAAGTATATCATCAGAAAACACTTAAAGGTTTCAATATAAATAGAATATACATATGTATGGTATGTTCAACTTTTGCATGACGACTGTTGGGAGGCAGGCTTTAAATAATATAAAATAATTTAGGTTAATTAACGTCTGATAAAAGTCCAACTTAAATGTGCCTAATGAGGAAAGAAAAAATGCGATTGCATTAGTATAAGTGGATATAGTAGTTCGAAACCTAGGACCTGTTGCGAAGTACATAAAATCCGGTATGGCATGGTCCCAATAACGAAGTCAAAGACTTCGTCTTCTTATGATGCCAAAATGATAGGACGACAAACTTATTCTAGCAACTGGTCAAGCGCAACTGTAATATTTAATATGTTGGATTGAAGGATGTAATAGAAGTTGGAGAGATACCAATTCTGTAAGAAGTCCATTCAACCTTTTGTGCATATACCTTAGTTAGGTAAATCTTTATTCATTATAGTGAATCTTGTTGAGCAAGGCACAAGCACTCAGACTATTTTTAACCTCGAGGTTTCTCTAAACTCCTCTACACCCTTGACAAGATATTTTATCAGCTTCATCAGACAACAATAATGACCTATATAGATGTAATCTTAGCAATATGTCATCAATATCAATTATAAAAACAAGCGTTAACAAACTAATCGTGTCTTCAGTAAAGGAGAGTATAGCTCTTCCATTCTCTCAAGAGAAACATCGTAGGATAGTTGCAACTTTTCGAGAAGATATAATGATAAATCATTTTGAATCCTAAAAGTCTATTAAAAAATTATTCAGCTGAGCGTAATATTTATAATCTTATAGCTCTAATATGTTATATGGTTCGAAGCATAGGCATTAAGTATTCTTAAACTATTTCATTCTATACTATTTTCTGTTAGAACACAGTAAGTGTAGTTTTAGTTGCTTTTGGTATCTAAAGGTGTTCCATTTCTAAAAGTATAAAGTCGACTTAAAATACAATTTGTTTTATCGTTTTTTTTTTTGTTTTTGTTTTTAATTGCGATAGATTGGAATCACCAACGCGGCAATTGGAGCTCTCAGCAGCAAAGGATATAAACATGCAGTCACGTGCCGGTGGCATTGAATTGTCTGCCCTCGAGGATATCAAACTGAGTGCTTTAGATGGTAGCGTAAGTGTCAATTGAAAAATGAGTATGCAACTCGAATTTAAATTAAAAATGTTTTTGCATTTGTTTACCTGACTTTATTGGTTTGACTTTCAATGCAAAATCAGATTGCATGCCTTAAAACTGATTTTATATTTGTGATGTAGTTTTTTAAGTACACTTGCGAAAGTTCTCTTAAATGACTTAAAGCGTTTTTCGTATTATATCACCCGACAGTTACGATTGGAATCAAACAAAATTTTAATGCCAAATTTGCGTACGGCACTACCACCCAATCCTGGTCAAGCGCAAAATCACGAGCACATGCATCGATTCTTCCAATTATGCGCCTGTTCGAACGGAAAACTGTTTTTGGCCGCACCGCATTCAATCTGTGCAGGTGATGAGAGCACTGTGTGCAGATGATTTCCATAGGACTAATAAATTACGGTATGTTACGCCCAAAGGGCTAAGTCTGATGCAGGGGTCACATTATTATTACTAAATATGTTATAAGTATGCAATGCCGCCGAATGTTGGATAATATTAATTATAGTTAATGTATTAGTACAGTTTAAAGAAATCCAAAGTAAATATATATACATATTATTATATTATAGTTGTTGTTAGTGGAAATGTATATAAAAAGTATATCTATTAAATAATACGAAAAAACTTCAACTATTGTTGCAATCATCAATAAAAAAAGGATAAAATACTAGACAATTGTAAATCATGATATTTTCGAAAGAAAAAAAAACGAATACAAAATACATTAGGAGCAATTTCAATACATAATCACATATATGAATATATTATTTGTATACATAATCTTATAAGTATATATAAATACATATATATTATATAAATATAAACAGAGGCCTATTAGTATGTAAGCATATTAATAAAGTAGTTTAAAACTAGTGCATACGTATCTTTTGTCATACATGTGCGAGCAATGCAAGCTGCAGACATCCGAGAGGACTTATTGCACGCAAGGGTGAGAGACATCCAATATATCTACATTTTAAGTTTGGCTTCTTTATATTTTAATAAGGCAATTATCTTAATGTACTTACTAAAACAAAATCAAGAGCTTCTTATACACAATACAATACAAAACAAATATTATTAAAATTAAAGAATTAAAACATATACTTGACACTCAATTATTAGTTAATTTACTATTGTAAGCAATATTTAACTGATATTCTTAGGCAATTGTTATAAAAATTACTAAATATATTATAAATAAATTAATTGCGTAAATTAGCTTTAGCTATTAAAATTTACAGCTTTATTTGTTAAAAATGCATATCGTTGTTTTTGTTTTTTTTGGCTGTTGAGATTTTGTTTTATACGCAAAAAGGTTTTCCTAGAAAATTTTATATTATTTAAAGGAAATTCTAAAAATTGTAATTAAATTTATACTTAATTCAAACAACGAATTTGTGTTCAATTATTTTGAAATACTATATTAAATAAAAAAAATACTATATAAACTTTTCGAAACAAATTTACTACCTAAAAACAATTTTCTAATCCTTAAACATTGTTATTATTTAAATATTATTAAATTAACTTTTTAATATTTCAATCACAATTGTTTATAATTTTTTTAATATATATATTTGTTTACTTTAAAGTATAATAATTGGATTACTTTTTTATAATTCGTTTCGATATTCTAATATTGATTATTTTAAAAAATAATTATTTTTAATATGTAAACAAAATCAGTTTATTAATTTTTTAATCAAAAATTTTTGGGGCTCAAGATTTTAATCACGTTCAAAATTCTATTTTAGTGTAATATGTTATCAACATTTTTTTAATATACTCTTTTCTTATACACTATATTGTAAAGTTTTATCACTAGATCTATGTTTAGTAAATATGTTATAGATTTTATAATCATTTTCCGAATGTTAACCCGCCCCTATATGGTAATACCTCGATTCGTTCATTGCCCTTAATTAAAATTTAATTTTATATAAATCTACTAGGTAAAAAGGGTATTTTAAATTATTATGTTTATTTAAAATAATTGACTTTTATTTTTTTAAAAAAAATTTAATTTGAATCAATATTTCGATTTTTTTTCTATAGTCATCTTCGAGATAAAACAAAAGTAGTAATAAAAATTTTTTTTGTCCATTACCATAATAAATTATTAAAATAATTGAATGCATATTGTTAATAGTTTGTTAGCAAATATTTTTCTTGATCTTACTGATTGATTTAAATCTTTATTAGGTGTAGTGTCGAAAGATTGGTAATGTTTCTTTCCCTAAGGTTATTGAAAGGCGATTTGGTTGAAGAAGCTGCTTTCTCTCTTCAAATAGTGGGAAGTCTTCAAAAAATAGGAGGACCTAAATAAAGTTTTAAAATCTGTTTTCGTGTAAACTATTTTCCAGGTATCTAAACTAATAGTAAAAGATATATGATATAGTCACAATTAAAGCAATAATTTTATTACGAGCATAATAATGTAGTTACTGAAATAATTCAACATTAGTAATAATGTTCACAAGAAATTACTAAACAAGGTTCTCTTGCAATTATATGTGACACTATAACAATTTTCATCTATTAACATTTATTCAGAATTCTTTTACTTTTGGTATTCATTGGACAAAGAGATCTGGTTTTTTGCTGTGTGTTGAGATACAGTTTCCATTATGACATTATACAGTTTTATTTTTCTACTACATCTGTGTAAAAAGAATTTAATTCTATAGACCTGATCAATAACATTGAAGAGTAATTCTCCCTAAAGGTTTTCTATCACCACTAATTTCTGCACATTTAAATAACAATTTTTACTTCATAACAGTATTCAATAGACCACGTAATTTTTATCTTTTATATTAGTGGTACGTGTACTTCAGATTTTCAAAAAAAGGAAAATTAAAGCTTGTTATTTTTTCAAGTCACTACCGTATACTCAGTTAGAGAAATTTGCGAATACGTCATAGAACCAAAAAAGGTTTCAAAATCGCATGTACGGCTTTAACATTTGGCTATTAGTAAGAAAAATTTTGTAGATAAACTCGGATACAGTTTTTGGGTACCGCAGATATAAGTGAAGAGAGCTATTAAGATTAGCTGAGTAAGTAAACCGATTTGACCGACAAAAAAAAATTCAAACTGAAGTCTATCCCAAGAACTATATTTAAAGAAAATTTTATTTTAATATTTTTACTGGTCTGGAAAATATAGAATTTTAATCGCCTGATTTTCATGTTTATACACTGCGCGGCGATAATCCGATAATTCCAAAATCGTTAAAATAATGACCAACTTAACGATTTTTAAACAATATAATTGTTTTGTGTCGAAATTAACAACTATGTATTATGACATAATGTAATAATTAATGGAATCGAATTTACTAATGTTACATTTCAAAGGGTATAAGGATACAATCATACACGAATTAAATAGATGAATTTATTATATATGGTGCTAAAAATCAATGATAACCAATATTTGATGAAGTTTAATTTGAATTAATTCAAAACAATGTATAATCATAAATAGTACTTTTATCTTCTTTATAAGTTCTTTATATGTAATATAATGTCAGCATATATACTTTTCTTAAAAGCGGTAATATAATATCTATTTCGCACTATAGCAGTTAAATTTTTAAATACCCAGATACTCTCCAATATTTAATGATCTAAAGGAGATCCATCATCTTTAAAAGAATAGCTGTGTTTCAACTAAGGATGATGTGATCAACGAACCCCGTGTTCGTACGGTGAACTAACAATTGATCTAGTTCACGCAGTAATTTAATGTGAAATATATATCAAAAATGAATATGAGATGTATTTAATAAAAAATTTTGTTGGCAACGCGGCATTTTTATATGAGAAAATAATCATATATAAAAAATAAAACACCAAATACAGAGCTGACAAATATGATGCGTTGCCAACTGCTTTTAATTGTGATCCATAACATTTCAGCAAAAAGATTCAGATCAATGTTTGCTGAAACACAGCTAATATAAGTATAAGTATATTCGCTATTTAAACGAGTGAAGCATATTGTTTTCCGAGACCTAATTAGGGTACCGGAGAATATAATTAAATATTTTAATGTATGTGTGGCAGTAAAACTATTCCTTATATTGTTTTATTATATAGTTTGTATAACAACACAATAAAATTGGGTGGTTAAGAACTGACTTCATTAAAGTAATTTATCATTATTAATCGTTATTTCAATTTGTATAGAATATGAGGGAAATGTGCATATTAATGAAGATATGATGCCAATAATTTAATAACTGCAAATGGCATATGAACCGCTTTATTTAATACAAAGATTCATTTAAGTGAAGAATAAACTTTTGATTGTAATTGATTATTCTTTACCCTTTAATTAATTCAGTTTTTGGGCGTACACAAATGGGGATCAGGGCTCCAAATTTTCACTAAAATCCTTTTTTATTTATATTTTTTTTATTTATATATTTTCTTATAGACTTGGAATTAACTTTAAAACTTCCACTAAAATTAATATCTTTATACGCTCCTGATTTTAGTTGCATATTAAAAATAAATTATATATATATACTCGTATTTATATTATGTATTTTATTGATATAAATTTTTGAAAATACTGTAATTACCTAACACACATTAGTCAAATTGTGAATTATATTAAGTGTATTTGCCATTATTGACTTCAAAAAATAAAATTAATGATTATTTATTGAACAAATGTTAAGAGCAAATGATTTATGAATTTAAATTGGATTTTTAATTTGATTATTTTAAATTTATGATTCGTTATAAAAACTGTGCAATAAAAACAAATCAAAATTTTTTGTTAATAAATAACTTAGAAAAAGGAAACTAATAGAGACAATTTTTTTATACAGAAACGAAACCAACAAAAATGAAATCGCGAATTGAATGTAAAAATTATATATAAAAATATGTATGAAATGAATACATGAATAAAGAAAATAATAAAAACAATATTTACTAAATGCTAATATATAAAAGTTTTTCATTTGGAAAATAATGATTTTGCGCAGTGTTGGTCGCACCTTCTTGAAGTTCATATGAAGGAGAATTATTTGAATCGCTTTGTGGGTGCGTCTAAATTTATACGAAATCCAAATCCATGAAGCAGTGGGTGTAGCTACATAGAAGCCATGCTATGCTCGTACGTCTGCATGAATCGTCGAATTCGAGAAGTCAACAAGGATAGAGTGAAATTCCTGCCATAAATTGAGTTACTTTTCCTCGTATTTATTTTTATTTTTTGTCTTGATTTGAGAAAAAAAAACTTGAGTTTTGTTCAACTGCAGTTGTTTAGTGTGATTTCTGTCTTTCAAAAGCTTTCAAAAAAGATTATTTAAATATAAAATGAATTCAGTTTAGTCTCAAATACTATACCAACCAATGTAGTAAAGTACCCTTACTTTGCATGATATTAACAATTTTAGTAAAATATTAATTAATTTCTACATATAATAATCATATATAATATTAAGAAATATCTGTAAAGAAAGGACTTTTTTTAAATTATGTATTTTGTCAAGCAATTTTAATGTCAGCATAGGTACTCTTTGA